AGAGAGAGAGAGAGAGACGATAAGTCTCCAACCTCATGGCTCGTGTCATGCTACTTCCATCGATAGGATGAGCAACATCCAATGAATCTTTGGCTAGAACATGGAAATATACACTACCTGGTTGAACATGGCCGACACCTTCGACGGCGCGGCGCGAAAGAAAACCGTAGCGAAAAAAGAGCCCGTTCATAAATTCGCGCCAACACCAACCCCAAAAAATAAATGGCAGTAAACAGAAAACCGCGCCGGGCCCACAAAGCCGTGCCAACACCAACCCCAAAACAAAAACGGCCGTTTGGCTAGAACATGGAATATACACTACCTGGTTGAACATGGCCGACACCTTCGACGGCGCGGCGCGAAAAAAAACCGTAGCGAAAAAAGAGCCCGTTCATAAATTCGCGCCAACACCAACCGCAAAAAATAAATGGTAGTAAACAGAAAACCGCACCGGGCCCACGAAGCCGCGCCAACACCAACCCCAAAAAAAAAAATGGCCGTTAACAAAAAACAGCGCGGGGCCCACGGTGCATCGGGCGCGCGCAGGAAAAAGTCTCAGCGGGACGCGTCACGCGACACCCGCGTTTTGCTTTAGAGTATTAGGGAAGGGAAGAAGGAAAAGGGAAGTACAAAGAGCAGGCTCCAATGGGCTTGGTCTGCGATAGGAGAGATTTAAGAACCAAGCGCCAAACCGATACCAGCAACTAACGTGTTCTCTCACCATAGCACAGCTGACAATGTTGTCCTGAAGTGGCAGAGAGATTTCAACACCCCTTCCCCCATGTTTCTGCCATAGCCATAACCCCTTCTCTCCCCTCCTCCCAGAACCCCTAGAGCCCTCCTCTTTCTCCTTTTGCCTGTTATCCTTGTGCATACAAGCAATTGCATCTCATATGCAGGAGATGGAATGGGCCACATCCGTAGCAGATCCTTTAGTAGGCTGTTTTGACAATCTTTTTTTTTTAAGCTACATTGAGGAGGTACTGAGCTGCACGGCAACGCCATCATGCTCCGCTGAGAATTTTGGCTGGCGTCGCCAGCCTGTGTGGTCCTGTGGCCCCGAGCCGCCCAAAAGTTTTGGATTGGCT